GCTGAGAGGGGTGAGGGGGGAGCAGCAGGAATGGTCTGGGGGAGGTTGGAAACCATGGTGGACATGGATTACCACAGAGATTAGCCTGCAGGGACAGACCAAGTCAGAGAGGAAGGACCTTAAAGTCCAGGTGGACCCACAGACATGAGAAACAGAGAGCTCCTGATGAAAACCTGCTGCAGGGACAGGTGTACGCTCGTAATCTTTAAGGTACACTAACAGAAATCCTCTGCCTGTGAAACAAACAAATATACCAATAATGTCCATAATAGGGTTGGGCAATATTGGCAAAAAATTAATCACGATTAATTGTGGTGTTTAGCCGATAACGGTTAATATGACGATTAATCCCCTGGACACTCTTATGTCCTGGTCACATGACCAATTTAGTGGGAAATATTTGCTCTTCGTAAAAAATCTTTTCCAAATTTGTCAAAATTACAGACTTCAGGCTGTACATCAAATTTTAATTTGTGTTGATAGATAAATAAATTACACAACTTTTTTAATGTTCTTCATATCTGAAGCAGAGAGGAGCAGCGAGCCGACTCTGCCTCGTGGCATTAATCATTTTNGGGTCAGGGTCAGGGAGAGGCTGCAGACACAGGTCAGAGTAGAGAGGACTAGAGAAGAGAAACTCCCTCTGACTGACAGAAACATGATACAGTCTTGAGACAGCAGAGGAGCCAGGTGACTCATGTTGAGACTGGCTGAAGACAGAAACCAAACCAACAACGTTGAGCTCAGGTTGGGCTCTTCAGACCATTCACTAGGATTTATCACAAGTCTGCCCCTTTATTTGTAATAAACCGGAGAAATCAGCAGAACCAGGGTTTGATACCAACAAGTTGTTTACATTTGAACATTGATAAGAACAATGTAAACAGTAACTGTGCACAATGGATCGAGTCTAAAGTTAGACTTTAGTTTTTTATTTCAAAATTTTACACATTGATGGTCCTGACGTCAGGTGGTTCCAGAGATGTGGTTTCATTTGTCTTTGTGATCATGAAAACTTTTAGAAAATTCAGTCTGACTATTTTAAGCATAACGTCGTGTAAAAGAGGAAACCTCAAACCATATTTGGACATCAGGATTTACAGGAAGTACCTTTGATAGTACNATCAGGAAATGAAATATCGTGATATTTCTGTGTATCGGTATTTTCTTACACCCCTAATTTGAAAACATTTTTTTTCTACCAGTGACTACATCTCGTTTCACCATCTTGTGACTTCATCTTTGGTTTGATGTGATTGATAACATATTTCACTACAGTTCCCATACCAACCAACTACCAACCAACTCTGCGAACAGATAAATATCCAGAAAAAAACCTGCTGATCCAAGTTTTTAATGTGTTTTGTTAGTCTGTCAATTCTTTCAGAACCACTCTACCAACAGTAGCGTCGTCTTCAGCTAATTACAGAAAAACTGCCGAYCTTTTCTCAAATCTTAACTGAACTGTTGGACAACAGATTGTGTTTGTTTTAGGAAGTGTTTCTCACTTTGTTGGAGACCACCAGGACACACCAGCATGAACTTTCTTTTAGAGGGAGGACTAAGAGTTCGCCGAGTTTTAATAAAACTGAAGTACAGTAAAAAGATAATAATAAAATAAACTAAGGATAAACTGAGGTTCACAGCTTCATTTTTCCATCATGAATATCGGGACACTGAAGCAGCTAATATGATACTAAATACATGAAGAGATGCTTGTTGGAGTTCGTCTTCTCTCTGCTGCAAATATCTGTATAAAAACATCTCAAAATGAACCGACTGAGTACAGGATGGATGGATTTACAGGCCCTCTGAAGAATGACTGCCTCAGTTTAATGCAGGTGATAAATTACACTGGACAGGTGTGCATTAGCAGGAGTTAATGGAGAACAGGAGGGGCCATCATGCAGAGCACAAACAAACAGAGTGTGGTGGGACAGTCCAGGTTCATGATGCAGTGCTGCTCATGTTGTTGATCTGTGGAGGTGACCGGAGATGAGCCACGTGTGCACACAGAGAACGTGTAAACTGAAAGCTCTAACCGCTGCACCACCGCGCTCCGGTTCTCTGGTTTGACACGATTCAAACGTAAACGAACTCAATCCTGACCTCGTTTGTAACCTGAAGCCAACATGGTGGATCCAGAGAAGCAGCAAGCAGAGCAGTAAGATGAGGTTTACTGAAGACAGGCTTCTTATCAAACATTACAGGGTTTGAGATTAAATATATTAATGTTTTAATAACACTGCAACCTTTTCAAGATGGTAGATCATGTTGAGAAATATACGTGAAGACATTAAACCAGAACCCTGAACCTCTGGGCTCACACACCTGTCACCTGAAACATGCAGGACAGTCAGGTGTGTGACATCAGGTGAGTGTTGAACATGAAGGACAGTCAGGTGTGTGACAACAGGTGAGTGTTGAACATGCAGGACAGTCAGGTGTGTGACAACAGGTGAGTGTTGAACATGAAGGACAGTCAGGTGTGTGACAACATGAAGGACAGTCAGGTGTGTGACAACATGAAGGACAGTCAGGTGTGTGACAACATGAAGGACAGTCAGGTGTGTGACAACATGAAGGACA